CACACACATTCACAAACACACATTCACACACACACTCACATACACCCACCCTCACACACCCACACACATTCACACACGCTCACATACACACATCCACACACTCACATATACCCACCCCCCACGCATTCACACACACACTCACATACACCCACCCTCACACACCCACACACTTTGGTGCTGGCCTCTGTGTATTCACTTTACATGATAAAAATTCATCCTCATTTTAAAAAGAAGGAAACAGAGGCACCAAGGCCCAAAGAATTTTCCAAAATCACTCAGGACCACTGACTCCCCAGCTCAGGGGCTCATGTCCTCAAACACTGAACACACCRCTTGTTCCAGGCAACTCTGTGACCACACAGCAGGGCAGCCAGGTGCCAGGCAGGGGTGGCCAGGCTCATTCTGTGACTGCAAATCAGCCCCAGGTCACGGAAGGAGGAGGCTCTTCCTTACACTGGTTTCTGGACCTGGGGGGGGGGGCACTTACCATGTAGTGGCCCCTCCGGAAGGCACAGCTAGAGGGATCTGCTCCAGAATCTCTCAAGCACGTAGTTTCCCGAATGCTGAACTCTAAATCCATGATCACGTTGTCCTCATCCAGAACATTGACCTTCATGAAAACAAGGAGTCAGTTTGCAACAGATGTGTTTATAAAGACCACAGGTCCAGACACCATGTTCTCTGCCCAGAGAGAAAACATTTAGAGTCACCCACCAGGAAAGTTATGAACCATCTTAGCATCGGCTAGGCCCCGCCCACATCCTGAAGACCAGAGAGAAAAAGTGATTCACCAAAGTCGTAGGATACTTTGCCACTAAGAAAACAAAAAACGGTGYGTCCTCTTCAGGCAGTGTGGCTTCTGAAAATTTGCACTTATAGATGATCCCCAATATTCATGGACCCCACTCTGGGATTCACCCCCAGCTGCACTTTATTTATAACTCCAAAATTCACTCTTGCTGTGCAGAGCAGCAAAARCCAAGGGTCCCAGTGTGCACGTTCCCAGACCAGGAAGCTCTGCTCTCTTCTCCCAGTGCTAATACCGCAAGCAAACGCACTTTGTGTGGTCTCTTCAGTGTCACGGGTTTTTCATTTTGTTGTTGCATTGTTTGTGATTTTTGTGGATCATGTTGGCCCCTCAAACCTAGTTCTGAAGAGCTGTTCAGGATTCCTAAGGGTAAGAGACAGGGATGTGCCCAGTGGGTAGATACATGCATTTGATGAGCACCGGTGGGCATCCTGGCTCTCTTGGCAGTGGGTTCAATGTCAGTGCATCTGCAGTRGATGTTAAACTAGCCATTCTGAACAGGAGCTCACAAAATCAAGGTAACCTGTTAAYGGGTGGATTAAAATGCTACCTGAGTCCTGCAGGAACCCAGCCCTGTGGTCCCCCAGGGGCAACGATTCAGGATCTGCAAACTCAGTATTTGTGGAGCTATCAAAAATACCACAAATGATGTGAATCAACCGTACGGATTTTTAAGTGTCGTTTTCCTAAGAGAACACTCCATCATTTCTTAATAATTACTGAAATAAGTAATTAAGCAACAAGTGCATCCCTGCTGTATACAGTGTGGTCCAACCTGGCTCCTGCATGAGAGGTCCCGACTATGAACAAACACACATGATCTTCTTCTTCTTTCTACCAATGACAGGATCCCGGGGCGATCTTCCAAGCTTCCTGGTAAATCTGAGAAGTTCTCATGACACAGAAGCACGGAATGCGCCCAGGTGGGGTGCTCAGCACCAGAGGCAGCCCAGCAAGGATGCCCCCCTGCGGTTTAGCTTCCAGAGTGAGCACCACCCGCCGAATGCCTGGGAGGAAACCAGCAGGGTCATTCCAGAGAGGTGCAGCGCAGCAACGGAGCTGGGGGAGGAAGAGCGATGTGAGAGAGAAAGTGCAAGAAAAGTCCAGAATAAGGAAAAGGTAATCCGGGACTTGAGGGATGGGAAGGAGCCCATCATGGGAGGAAAAGCCAGTTCCCTGGGGCAGGGCCAACCCCGAGGCTGGAGCAACTCGAACGTGGGGAGAAGCATTCACATGAGCTGGAGAGACCCAGGGATCCCTCGGCTTAGGTCCTGCAGCCCCTGGGAAGGTGCTCGGGTAGAAGAGCCGACGCAGGCTGCTTGCTGTCCACGTTGGTCTCTTCATCCAACGGTTACTTGGCCACCCCTCGGGATTCTCTCCTGAGCCGCCTCTTTATTCTTTCCAGGACCAGGCTGGGGGATTTCCCCATCTTTCTGTTCAGCTTCCAGCTAGATTTCCATCTCCAAGTCACCTCTGTCTTTTCTTCCTACCGCAAGCGGACAAAAGAAGCCGTGCSGGTTTTTGGATGCCTTGCTGCTGAGACCTTTCTTCTTAGATTCCCACTCATCACTGTTAAGTTCTGCGTCCCTCTCAGTCCTAGGAAAGGGTCACGATTCAGCCCAGCACTTYGCAGCTAAATCACCAGCTTGGCTTCCAGTACCTTCAGTATCGTCCTTTGTCTGAGGCTTCGTGAGAATGGCCTTCTCTGTCCATCTGTCTACCAACATTCTGGTTACAACCCCTGGGGTGACCTGAGATCCAGGCTCTCCACTCAGGACAGCCACCCACAAATTCCCCCGAATCCTCAAGTCATGAAGACCTCAGCCTTTTCTAACTGCATCTCCAAATTCTCCGCCCGTTCCCCACCTCCAAAGCAGCTTCCAAAATGTCAGGCATTTAATACAGCAACAGCTCCCATCTCTGCACCAGTTGCCTAAGTCCATTTCATACCATTATCACAGAATCTCCAAAATTGGGTCATTTACAAAGAATAGAGGTTTCTTTCTCACAGTTTTGGAGGCTTCCAAGTCCGAGATCAAGGGTGTCCCTTGGTGAGGACCTTCTTGCTGCATCATAACGTGGCCAGAGGCATCGCCAGCAAAAGAGCACCCACAGGAGAGGCGGAAGGGACAAAGTCATCCCTTCATCAGGAGCCCAGTCCTGCATCAGCTAGCCAGTCCCATAATGACAGCATCGATCCATCCATGAGGACAGAGCCCTCCACCCTGGCATCTTATGAAGGTCCCTGTCCCAACAGCTGCACTGAGGACTCTTTTTTTTTTTTAATTCACCCTTTAAATTATTTATTTATTTTAGTTGTAGACAGTCACAATACTTTTATTTTATTTTATTTTATTTTTAATGTGGTGCTGAGGATCAAACCCAGTGCCTCACACAAGGCAAACACTCTGCCACTGAGCCCCCTGGTGACATTTTTGCAACACATGAATTTTGGGGGAACCACGTTTAAACCCTAGCAATAGCATTAAACCTTCCTGGTTCTGATTCTCTGGAGAATCCTGAATTAAGTGAATCCCTTATTAACGGACAAAGAGTAATGAACAGAAATAACTGGCTGAGAATAATTTAGAAAACGAAAAATGCAAATAAAAGGCAAAAATGGACCAAAATGAGCCTAGACACTTTAAGGGTCACAGGCTTCCTGTGGTTTTGCATCTAAGTGTACCCTGGAGGCTCCCACCTGTCCCCTCCTCCATGCCGTCCCCGGATGAGCTGCCATCACCRCTGCTATTGCCTGAGTGTGACCTCCAAATGTGACTCCAAATGCATTTCTTCTCTTGTAGATTGCCCAGTCTCAGGGATTCTGCTGCAGTCTAACAGGAAGCTGACCACTATAATCTGAATGTGTCCTCCAAAATTCATGGTTTGGAAACAGTGTTGGCAGCAGGGACCTTTGGGGAGATAACTGGGTGCTCAGCAGTCTACCCTCCTGCGTGGATTCGTCCCTTCAAACTAACGTAGTGTTTGGGGGCGGCTTTGTTTTAAGTGTGCCATCTCCGTGTTTGCTCTCTGGCCATGTGATGCCTCCAATGTGACAACGCAGCAGCAGGAAGGCCCTTACCAAACGCTGGGGAGATTTTCGGACTTCTCAGCCTCCAGAATTTTGAGCTGAAAACACCCATTTTCTTTACAAATTACTGACTCGRACATTTTGCTATAATAACAGAAAATGAACTGAGACACAGACTAAGGCACCCGTCTACCTGGGTTCCACCCTAACGTCTCCCCAATCTTCACTTCTTCCCCTGAAGCCCACTCCATATGGCAGCCAGCGAGACGGCAGTGGACTCAATGTTTCCCTCCCACCCAATTTATAAGTGGAGACCCTGGCCCCTTGTGAGCCTTGGAGGGGGAGCGTTTGAGGTAAGAAGGTCTTGGGGGGAGCCTCAGGAACGGCTAGTGTCTAGGAGAAGAGGCCAGAGAGGCAGCTTGGCTCTCTTTCTGCATGTGAAAATACCAGGAGAAGCCGGCCTTCTGCCACCTGGAAGATGGACTTCCCAGAACCGGCACTGCTCCCAWCTAGGACTTCCAGGCTCCAGGACCATGAGAGGCCAATTTCTTTTGTTCATATTTCCCCCCATCCGTGGTACTTTGGTATAGTAGCCCCTGCTGCCTGAGAGTGAGATCTACAAATGCAAATGTCTTCTCCACTTAAAAGCTCCCTGTGGCCACCTGTGGCCCTGACGCCTCAGAATCCAGACCTCATTTCCCAGCTCATGTGCACTCTCCGACCTCGCTTCCTTCACATCTTTCCCTCCTGGCTCACAGGGCTCCAGACTCTCCAGGRCCTTTTGTCCCCCTGGCTCTGCCCAGCACCCTCCAAACCTCCTGCTAAAGGGCTTCCCGTGGCCTCAACTTCTCATCACTCAGGTGAGCCTCSGGCGGGCATGACAGTCTCCATGGAGACCCTCGCCGCGGACTGCTGCCCCCGCCTGGCCACACCCATCAGCCCGGCTGCTGTGTACAGCGGGCTGCAGGGAAGAAGTCAAGACTGGAGAGGTGCTGGTGTGGGCCCGGGTAGGCGGTGGGTCAGTCTGTGCTCAGTCCATTGCCTGTTGCTATAACAAAACGCCCCTGTGCATCCGTGAGGGCGCTGCCTGTTGGACTTCTCGACGGCACCCGCCCTTCCCTGCCCTGGACCTACCTCTTCATTCCATGTCCCCAACACAGGGCCTGTGTCCACCTTTCCCTTCTCCACTTGTGTCCACTTAGGGAACAGTCTGGGTGAATCTGATGTCAGAGTTGGAGCGAGGAAGACGTCACTGCTAAAGTCACGCCCCTCACCCAATGGGGACAGAGAATTGGTCTATTTGGGGTCATCTGTAGGGTGTTTGTGAAAGACATGGTTGACACACACAACACAGAGCAAAACGAGAGGCACTTCCAAGAGGAGACAAGTCTCACCAGGAGAGATCAAAGAAGAGGGTCTTTCTTAAAATGGAGAGAAAAAATAAGTTTTYAAAGATGGAACGTGGTGTATGTAGCTTGACCCTTGACTATGAATGATCATTAAAGACTGAGAACAGGCAAGAACAGGCAGACTTCCCAGGGGAAGAGCAGCGTACCGTGGCAGACAGGGGTCTCTTACTTATGTACCTGCAGGGACCACACAYGTCATCTAACAATGCATCTCTAGGTGCACGTATCTGGGCTCAGGTCTGTGTAGCCACATCAAGATGGCGCATGTGCTGGAATGTGCCTGGGTGAACACACCTTACACTAGCTCATCTCYGCAGGCCGGATCTCCATGATATTCCTCATCAGTCCTCCTGGGATATGTCCTCATGCTCTGACTCAGTTAATTAACCACTAACTTTGTCCCATAGAGAGCAAGAGTTAAATTACAAGTCAATGTAGACTGTTGATCTTGGAGGGGGACATGGATTCCACAACACTACACGAGGAGTCCATGTGGCATTTGGGGCCAATGGAGCAGCAGTGGACTAGGAAGAGGCTGGGTCTGACCCAGCTCTCCTCCTGCAGCTGGGCCTTGGTCTCAGAGGCTGACCACGCCTACCTTGCAGGGCCTCCTCAGCACAGCCTCCAGGTCTAAATAGCCCCGCCTGACCATGAAAGCCAGGCCTGGGATAGGCACCCACCTAAAGCCCACTTAAAGAACCCCTAAATTAGCTTGAGGGCGTTTCTGTCCCTGCCTCCCCAGAGCCCCATTAAGATGACAGCCAGGCAGGGAAGCTGCCTGGGGACAGGAAGGAGGGAGGCCACCGAGGCCTTGCTTCTCACTTCCTCTGAAGGAGCATCTAGGGTTTTCCTTGCCTTTCCAGACTCCGTCATTGCAAACCCATACAAACTCCTCTCTCACTAAAGTTCTCGGGCTGTTAGAAACAGGATATTGTCAATTAACAAAGGAAGGTGGATTTCCTCAGCTCCGAAGCTGGATTCTTTTTCCTGCAAGCATCCAGAGCAGATGTGCTGAAGTGGAAAGGAGGCTCACTGCTAATAAGTGAGCAGCACTGGGGACCCAGGAGCAGGTGGAGACCCAGGACCACTCTTCCCAGGTAGCAGGCAGAGAACTGGGCAGGGTCGGAGGGAAGGACGCAGCAGGGTCTGTCCCCAGAGCCACCCCAGGGCCTTGAGACACATTGTCATGAGATCCTTTCTCTGTCCCAAGTAATCAGTGTGAAGGGAGTGACCTTCCTAAACCAGGAAAACAAACCGGAGTCCAACCAGCAAACTGACCGAAGGCAGGACGGAAAGCCCGGAGGCGGGCGAGGGGCACTTACTCTTTTCACGGAGCTTCGGAAGGCGCSGAACAGGTACGGGCTCAGGGACTGGGCGTTCACTTTGGCCACCGCGGCGCTGAGGGCTTCCCGCAGGGAGGAGGGATCATAGTCGTACACGGGGAAACCTGGACACACAAGCACACGGGCCACCGTGAGAGGGGAAGGCTGCGTGTCCCCAAGAGCAGGTGGCTGTCGAGCTCCCTACCTGAGCAAGGCCAGAGGTCCATCCCCAGAGCCAGCACCACCAGCACCTTCATGGCCAGCGCCATCGTGAGCAGAAGGTTTTAATTCAGAGCCGGGAGACTGTCCCTCGGCAGCTCCAGGGTGACAGCCCTTCCTGAGAGCTGTTGTCTTTGTCGAAGGTGACCCGACTGCTCCCTCCCACRGGGACGTCTGAACTTAAACAGAAACAATTGATCCTGGGGCCAATGTTTACTGCTGACTTTTCCTATGGAAAGGATCCAGTTTGGGGTCACTTTTGAAGCTGAGACCTCACCAGGGGACTTTAGCCCACAGCCAAAGGCGTGGAGCAGCTCAGGACTCGACGTGTGCATTGAAAGTCCATCAATTAATTAATTAAAATCATTAATAAAATTTCATTCCCTGGGGGAAGGAGATATCACTGCCTCTTCAACAAATGGGTTAATTTGCGGGGGTGTATTAGGGATTGGACCCAGGGGCACTATGTTGCTGAGCTGGCTTTGAACCTGCAATCCTCCTGCCTCAGCCTCCATTTGCATTTGTAATCCTCCACCAGGATTATAGGCATGTACCACCGCACCCAGCAAAACAGGTTGATTTTAAGGTGTGACCATCTAATTTTAAAGTGTCATTCCCTCTCATGGTGCTTGAGATGTGTATGAAATGATATGGGTACTCTGAGTATTTTTTTAATTATGAATATAAGGAGCATCTTATAGGGTCCTAAATATGCTAAGCAAAGTGAAGGGAAGCCTCTACACACCATGCTGTCGGGCGACCTTCTTTACTGTCGGGTGACCTTCTCTACTGTCGGGCATTTTTGCCTGTTGCCTGGTTGATAAGGTATTAACACTGACGATTCTCATGTGCCATGAGATGCCACGGTGGTTTGTGAATCACTAAAAAGGGAAAGTACTTCATGAGAAATGCAGTGTGTTACAGGTAGGCTGCTGCGTTCTCATTCATAAATGAACACACAAGAAGCTGTGCTGTGTTGTGGCCCAGAAAGACCTGCCCCGGCATCCTGGCTCCCTGCTCACTGCTCTATGCCCCTGGGCATGGTATTGAACACCTCTGAACCTCAGTCTCCTCCTCTGTCAGATGGGCATAAATGGGTAGATGTCAGGTGTGTATTAGTCAGGGTTCTCCAGAGAAAGAGAAACACGAAGATGGAGGGAGGAAGTGAGAGAGGGGATGCAGTTTAAGGAACCAGTAGGGCAGGCTGGCCAGTCCACAATCTGCTCCCGGAGAACCAGGAAGTGAAGCAGTTTGGGGCCACTGGCCATCTGCTGTCACAGCCCCTCCTGCTTGGGGAGAACAGGGGGTCATTCTCTTTCCRTTCAGACCTTGGGCTGGTTGGATGAGGTTCACACACAGAGTGGACAGTCCTTCCTTTGCTTTACCCAAAATCTCATCTCATTTTAAAAACACCTTCACAAAAAGGTGGAAAAGAGTTCACCTAATCCCCCCATGCAGCCCCCAACCACATTATGAGCCAGCCCCCTTAAATTAGAGAAAACACTCAGCATTTGGTTTGGGGGGATTAGCTAACTTCACTTAGCGTGATATTCTCCAGCTCTATCCACTCACCTGCAAATGCCATGGTTTTATTCTCTTTAACACTGAGTAATATTCCTCTGTGTCTAGATGCCACATTTTCTTTACCCACTCATCCACTGAAGGTCATCTAGGTTGGTTCCACAGTTTAGCTACTGTGAATTGTGCTGCTGTAAACATTGAAGCTGGACAGGGCACAGGGGAGGGAGGGGAAGGGAGGAGACAACGTGGGAGTAGGAAAGATGCTATGGTCATCATTACCCTGGGTACATGTATGAAGACACGAATGGTGTGACTCTACCTTGTGTACAACCAGAGAAGTGAAAAATTGTGCTCTGTATGTGTAATATGAATTGTAATGCATTCTGCAGTCCCGTACAACAAATTAGAATAAAAATAAATAATAAAATAGCAAATTATGAAAAAAAAATTTAAAACAGGTGGAAAAGTGTTGGATGAGAACGATGTGTACGTCCAGCCAAGTGGTCACCCACTATTAGCCATCACCAAAGGGTTCAGGAAAGAGCCCCGAGAGTATTACTTGGCAAGTTCATTGCTCAGGACGGAGCTGGTGGGAGTTCAGGAGATATTTTTGGTGTTTGTTCTGTCGCGGTCACCGGTGGAGGGAGTATCTCCGGCGACTTCAGAGCTGGCTCACCTGCACTCGGGGCACCACCCAGCCACAGAGGTGCAAACCCGGGCACGCAGAGGGCCAGGAACGAGCTCTCCGAGCAGGGGCCATGGGCCATTGCCCTTCTCCTGTTGAGCTCGGTGCCCGGGCATCTTTCCTTATGTACCCCTCGCACTGGCTCAAAGGAGCATTCCAAATCCCTGGATGACCTTGGTGTCCAGTGCCATGCGTCCCTCCCAACCTCCACTCCGGCCCCACAGTTTCTGACCACCCTCTAGCCTCATCTCGGGCCACCCTTCCTCCCTCACCAGGTTCTGGCTGCCCAGGACATGGCTATGCCTTGGATCTGGAGGGTCCCCAAAGGCCCATGTGGTAAAGGCTGCGTCCGCAGCCTGCAGCATCATCGGAGGGGTGGCAGCCTTGCCGAGGTGGGAGGTACTAGTTCACTGGGTGTGTCCTTGAGGCGGACGGGAGGATCCCAGCCTCTTGCCCTCCCTCTCTCATTTCTCTCCCAGTGAACGGGCACCCACTGTGGGATGCTGTGCTGCCACTGGACCAAGCAACAAGCCTGAAACCTCCATGACCATGAACCCAAATTAACTTTTCGTCTTTATAATTTGGTTTCCTCGGGTGTCTTGTGACAGGACAGGAGAGCTGGCTAACACAGACACCGAGGACTTCACCCAAGGCCTCTGCATGTGCCATCCCTTTTGACTCACAGCAACTCCCAAGGTCAGCTCCCCCCATCAGTCAGGTGGCACCTTAAACAGCACCTCCTCAGAGAGGGTCCTTGGTCTGCCGCCTGCCTACACCCCGCTGCCCTCGACCCACGCCGGCCCCTCCTCCCTCCCTTGCCTGCTTGTTTGCCCCCATCTTTCTCCCCTAATGTGCTAGGAGCCACAGCAAAAGTATTATGATACATGGCACCTTTGGTTTAGGTGACTGCCAGCTAGCCATTGAGATGATATGATTATGTTAAGCTTTACATTCATATGGAAATTGGACTCCTGCTGTTCACCTCGGCCTGTTAAGGGACTCATGTTACTCATGTTACTCATGTAATGGGAGAGTTCCCATTGGTTGGGGAAGGATAGTAGGAGGGAATTTCCGGGGGAGGTCCGGGCCCCCAGTTCCGGTGGAGACACACGTGTGTGAACCAGCTTGTTAGCAGGGCGCACACGGGGACTGGTGGCCTTTTTAAAAATAAAGCTTTGTTTCCTGCTTGAGCGGCTTGTGTTTCTGTGCCCAGCCGGATTGCGGCACTAATGGACTCCAGGTCCAGAGGCCCGGGACCAGACGGTCTCCCTGTACTGTCCTGAAGCGCACAGATAGGAATGTCATGATCTGGTTAGTCTCCCTGAGTCTGTCCCCAAATCTGTCCATTGAGGCTGGCCCCCTTTCTGGGGTGGAACGGGTACATGGGCGGGCCAGCATGCCATGAGGGGTGGACACCAATGTGTGACTCTGTGACTTTCAACCATCAGCATCTTCCAGATTCAACTCATGGCACTGGCTGGCCCAGAACTCCCCGGTCTCACCAAGTGAAGAGAAGTAATAAAACTAATTGCAAAGGAGTGGGGCAGGGGGCGGTGAAGGAGACACAGCAGAACCCCTCAGCAGCACAGGGCTGTGGGTCTGCTGGTCCAGCACGGGGGGTTGTGTTTCTCAGATTCCCTGGGCACCAGGACAGGCACCTATGATGACAAAGGCCTGTGCACGGTTCTGTCACAGCCAGCAGACCCAGAAGGCTAAGCGCGAGCCCTCCACTGACATTCAGGCCGCGATGACTTCTTCTATTATTCTTTCTCCAATTTGCACAGATGTGTGCAGTGCTGATTCCAGCCACTTTCTGCTGTGCTGACACAAATTATTAAGTAAGGGATTAGAAATTACGCATGATTCGGTGAGGAGTGTTGTCTAGCCTTTGGTTATGCCRTCCCTGGAAATTTATATAAATTCTTCACGGGAAGCCACTAGCCAGAGCCACCAGGGACGTGCAGACGAGGCTGCATGGTGAGCAGCTGGGGCACAGACTGAGGTTCTTCGTGATCATCTCCATCCATCACTTCTCCAGAGGCTGTCTCTTTTCATCTTGGACATCTGCATGTTGATTTTATTTGAGAAAAATCACTAAATTCAGAGCAAATGAAAACCAAATCTTGATCCAATGCATACATCACAAATTCCGTAGCTGCCTTCCAATTTCCTGGAATGGCAGACTCTAAATTCCCAAAGGGCCGCCATCAAGACGCACGCTGACGACCTGGAGCCACCCTCTCCGTGCCCTGCCAGTGTCAACTCCGCCCGCTGCATTTATTCCAGAGGCGATGAGGTGTGCATCTGCAGGGCAGAGCAGGAGTTCTCCAAATGCCACCCTGACCAGCTGCTCCAGTGCCACCTGGGACKCACTGAGAAGGCACGTCCTCGACCCCCACCCAGCACCCCCAGACCAAAGTGCCAGAGGAGCCTGGTGCTGGGAGTCGGCTCCCGCTGAAGCTCGAGAAGCATGAACGGAGCAGTGGCTGCCAGCCAGGCCCAGCCCCGGGGCATCGGCTGTGTCTGGAGACACCTTCAGTGGTCACTCCTGCAGGACAGGTGCAAGTGGCATGCAGCAGGAGAGCTGGAGGTGCTGCTGGACGGCCTCCCCTGCACAGACGGCCCCCACAGCAGGGGTCTCTGGTCCAAATGCCACTGAGAATGAAATCCCAGAGGCTGGCCCAGGGCCTCGGAGCTGTTAGGCGGAAGGTGACGTGGTGCACACAGACACAACCTGGGTCCGGCAGCCCAGCGAGCTCAGGAATCCCGGGAAYGGAGGGAGGGGAAGGGAGCAGTTTCTCCTCCAGGACCCCTGGGCGACTCGCATGCAGGGTCTGCAGTGAATCCTAACCGTGGGCACCCCCAGAGTTCCCCGGAGGCTTGCTTTCCTTCCCGAGGAGCTGCAGGGAGGGACCAGAAATCCCTTGGCCA